TTTTCAGGAAGGATTACAGAATCCATCTCATCCTTTCAGATACCTCACCTGCTTCCTCCCTAACTCATCTTACATGCTACTTCCAAATTAATCTTTTCAAAGCCCAATTCCAATCACATGCCTCCCTTGTTCAAATATTATCACTGTCCTCCTAGTCACTGAAAATATAAATGCCTCATCTAGACTGCCTTCTATCATTTGGCACAAACTATCCTTCAAGCTTCTAACAACACCTTCTTCATGAAGTGCCATGAAGTTTCCATGAAACCTTCAGGTTAGTGTCATTTACATTTTTATGATCCTCTGAATCCCCACTGCACTTTAACTCTATGTATAAGGAAGTAATGTATTTTTCATTTTGAAACTTAATTTTCTTATTTGTTCCTAAGTTTTTCACTTGATTTGGGCTTTTCAGGTACATAATCATATTACATGCAACAATGATCAACCTTCTCCTTTCTACTCTTCACATTCTGGTATCTCCTATTTGCAAAGAATTTTCACACACATATTTTTGCCTCAAAAACATATGGAGAAAAAGCAGTGTTATCGCTACTTGCAAAGAATAATTAAGTATTCATATAATGCAGAGGATTGTGATAGGCACTGTAACTAATTCAAGAATAAGGCAAATATGAATCTTGCCCTCGAGAAGTTTACAGGCCACTCTAGGGGTCACAATAGCCAACAGGCCAAATCCAGCCTACTACCAGTTTCTGTAAATGAAGTTCTATTAGAACACTGCCGCTCTCATTCCTTTACATAGTTATCTATTAGCTGTTTTCACAATTCAACTTCAGAGCTGAGTAGTTAAGTCAGAGACCATGTGGGCTACAAACCCGAAAACAATTACAAACGGGTCCTTCACAGAAATTTGTGGCCTATCCCTGATCTAGTACATTACACAAAGCACATACATATAAATGACACTATCTCAACATGAGACAATACAAGAGACCCAACCAAAGAAAGAGGTACAAGGTTAACATACTCAACCAATTATTAGTCACTGATGAAGCCATTACTAGAACCCTGGTTTCAAATGAACTCAGTTCTCTGATACATCAACAAAAGACCAGAACAGTATTAAACTGCTAAATTTTATACTCCCCCTGCTCATCTGCTATCAAGATAACTCAGTGAGAAAATCCACAGAAAAAGTGTCTATTCCAAACTCCCAAGGGTACTTTTCTATCATCTCCAGTTTCTACTTAATGTTTTGCATGCACCTATTGCCCAAATTCTGAGTGTTTTCTTTGCTAATAAACAGATAATTAGGTACTTTGAGCACAGGCTGTTTTAAGACCCAATTCAACCTCCTCACTTAGATAAAACTGTGTATTTATTCAACCTCTCCACTTAGGTAAACTGTGTATTTTTGATAGCTGCTATAAAAAAAAAATCTTATAATTGCGCAGTGCCTGTGACTCAGTGGGTAGCGTGCCAGCCCCATATGCCAAGAGTGGCAGGTTCAAACCCAGCCCCAGCCAAACTGCAACAAAAAATAGCTGGGCATTGTGGCAGGCACCTATAGTCCTAGCTACTGGGGAGGCTGAG